CTGGACAGCTGGGACAGCCTTTACACCTTGGGTGGCCCTGATGAGAGCACAAACTCTTGGCATACCCTCCAGGCATTCTTCACTCATCCCTCACAAGAACACTCCCCTGCCATGATGAGGCAGCAAAGCAGGATTTTGCTCCATTGTCAAGCTGTTCTTATCATTAGGAAATTTTTCCTAAAATCCAGCTGTATTATTCTATGTCCTAAACTTGATGCTGATAGAAAACCAGAAGGGGGTGGACTGATTAGAATAGTAGTATCATGACATTTGTATTATTATGCCACATTAAGCTATATACAGTTGGTCAGTTATGAGATTGGTGGGTGGCAGCAAGCTTTCTAAGAATGCTGTGGGCACATCTGTAGCTGTTGCTGAGTTGTCTCATGTTTTTTAGTTATTTCTGTGCTTTGGATTTTTTGATGGTAAATTTATGCTGGCATGAGATCTTGTGAACTGGCTTCTGGCAAAGGGGATCACAGAATTAGTCAATAAATATATTAGTGCCCTGGCTCCTAAAAATTAAAAGGTTTTCATATTTATACATTGCAATTTAGTCAGTTTGGAAACAATCATTTCCTCATGGATTCTCAAGGATTACTGACTAGTTTTGACACTAGTTAGAAAAAACAGCATGATGATAGAAGTTCAACCATTGAAGTACCAGATTAAGCCTTAGGAGGAAAGCATTCAAATTCTAATTTAGTCACAAAATTCACAGAATACATTTGAACTAACCAGTCTCAAGATTGGGGATGGGGGGAAGGATGAGAAAGAGATAATATGTACATAACCAGAAGCTTTGGGAGAAAGTTGGTATATAAATTTAATTAACTACAATTTCTCCACTGCCTAGAGAGAAAATATGTATCACAGAAAGCAGTACTTCAGGCAGGTAAATTTTGTTATATAAAGCTTATTACTTGGAATTGGGCCTAGAAATAAACCAATATCAAAGTCACTTGCTTGGGTCACTGTTATATAATTCTAACTGCCTGTATTAGCAAATTTCTGGTTTTGCATTTTGAATCAATTTTCAAACATTTTTAAGAAGCAGATGAGAAACTGCATATGTCAGGAATTTTTGTAAGGATGTCTCCAAAAAGTGAGTGGACTAGGTGTACATCTTGAAATTAATTCAATATAATAAATTCATTTTCTGAAAAAAGAAAAAAAAATCACTGACTTAAAAATATTGTCAAAAAGTCTTGGATTCCTTTTATAACAGGAATCACCATGGCTCACAATTACTAGACAGAGAATCAGAATTACAGTGAAGTCTATATTATAAATGCCAGTTCCTTATGTAGACATGTCAAATGAACACATACTCTGATGCCAAGATAAGCAGCCATTAAACTAACACCATGTTATTTGTCATTCGGTTTTTTAATGAGTCATAAAATATTATGTTCTATCTGGTTGACCCATATTAATTTTAATCTAGATCCATTTGATTTGGGCAAAAAAAAACTTGTAGCACAAAGGGCTAGAGCAAAAAGGGATTAAAGACTGCAACTCAGAATATATGTCTAAACCTGTTAAGCATATTGTAAATTCCTTTAAGACAATTGTTTTTAGTTACTATCTTTAAATCATAAAACTACAGGAGTGGATTTTAATGTAGCCAGCCGATCAAATCTGAAAATTTCAAATGACAGCCTTCACTACACATATAAAGTTACAAATACCTAAACAGAAAAGCAATACTTTAAAGCAATTTTCAAGTGGCATTTGATAACTTAAATAAATTTTGATTTAAAAAAAAAATCTTCTTGATCTAGATTTTAAAATGCATGGTAGTAATCCGTGGAAAAATAGAAGATCAAAACCAATAATTGCTTTGCATTGCAAGTGAAGGCAGCAGGAACAGTCAATGCCAAAATACTTACTAATGACAAGAATGAGATAGTAGAGTGACTGTGTAATTTGTATCTTTCAGAAACTGAATACTAGTATTATCACAGTAGAAATTATTTCCATAACATACACTTACAATTACCCACTTTATTAATAATGAAGAACCTGAAAGATAAATCCCTTGTGGACATTTCCAGTCTTATTTCTTCTGGCAGAAAATCTAGTTGCATACAAATTAACTTGTGAACGCAGATGCCCTTGAAGAGAATTAATTTTCTTTGCCCATAAAAAACCTCTTTCTAGGAATCCAAAATGCCTTTGACAAAATCTTCATCCACTTTCATGTTCTGAGCTGTGTTGATTCAATAAAGGGCAGGATATTATAAAACCAACTAGGTATCCATATCCATATTTTTTCTTCTCCTATATGCCTATGCTTGTCTACTTAATCCTTCATACATTTTATGAAGTAGATTCTATTCCACAGAGGCATCTATTACTATAACAGCTTGAGTTTAAAATTCATGCATGCCTCTGATAATTCTTTGGACTGCAATTATTTTTCTTCTTTTCAGAACCATTCCAGGATCTGGCTAAAAGCCAGTTCTTAATTTCATGTAACTTTTACATAGGATCCACATGACAGAACAATTAATTCACCAACCACATATTTCTGTGATCATCAGCACTGATTTGACCATTCTCAGCAGAGTTATGGTATAAAATTCTGGATCTAAGGCATGGGTCTACACAATTTTTACATGGGATGCATACGAAACCACTTTCACTTTACAGATTACACCTATCTGCGCTTAGTGAGACATTACAATTACAGATTTAACCATTTTTTGGCACTGCCTTGCTCAAAAATTTGGAACTACAGAGCCTCATGGAGCCAGATGATTTTTACTTAGACTCCACATGGAGCCAACATATCTGTCTGCAAGCAATAAACCATTACAATCACAGATCTGCCAATTTTTAGCAGCATCAAAAAAGCCAGAACTACAACTGTGATAGTTCATTCTGTGCAGACATGATTTATGCTGGTTTTATGTGGTTCCCTTCTAAACACCATGTGAAATCAAGAGTAACCAAGCCTTAGAATCTCAGATTTCCAAATGGAAACAATATCAGAGCAATAGGAAAAGGGGACAGGGAAAAAGCTCTAGCAGACAAGCAAGGAAATACCTCAAAGCCAATTGCAACAGATAGTTACATAACTCACAGATCAATTTTTCTCCCAGACCATCTCCCTGTTGCATTTGTTCTTCCCATTCCCCCTTTAGCTGCTTCCAATGCAATGATGTTGGTGTGGTACCACTGGGATCTGTCAATGTATTCATTGATACTTAGAAGTGCTCCTATTCTTATTACGTCTTGCATGAAGCTATGACAGAATTGTTACTCTTTTAAACTAACTGTATTTTTAAAAAAGTGGAACTTACCTTAAACATAAAATTGTGTCTCCAAAACCAACTAACAGTCTATTTCCACTGAGTGTTTTTGATATTTAAAAGACTGTAAGCTGTTTATATCTCTCAGCAGGAAGCAGCACCTCTTTGTCCTTCCCTGGGCTCAGGAGATAAGTAGAGTCATGCAGGGCTGCTTAATATTTGAAAGGGAGAACTCCAGGGAATGATCCTAGAATGGTTGACTAGCCTGGAAAGTGGCAGCACAACACATCAATAGAGATGTGATCTGTTATTTCATCTCTCTATAAGGATCCCATGCAAAAATCATGTGGGTTCATGACTTGGTATATTAAATCCACCTGCACAAAATCTTTGAATTGTTTGAGATAGCTCATTGCATGCTGATGGATCATGTATGCAATGTGATTTCTGTGGGTATTCAATATAGGTCCCATGTAAAAATTAGGCAAATTCAAGATTGGTCCCTTGAATTGTTTCTGGGACACTGCAATGTCTAAAATTAGAACTGTGACTAGGGTTAAGTGTCTGCAGAAGAACTGCAATGCATGCAGTGCATTAAGCCCGCATAAGAAATATGAAATCTAGAAAGCCCTGCTTGATTCATGGTCCTTTTACCATTTTGTCAATCCCCACTCTTAAAATTAGCAAGGTGGGGTGTTGTTTCAGTTATGGTGGAAGTTTTAAAATGCTCCATATTGAAGGGTCACAGGACTCTCTGTCTTCTGTTTTTTTCGGTTCTTGCTGCAACTTGGCTAACTCGTTGAGGAACGCGCAGAGAAAGCAGCGGCGATGCCGAGGGTAGGCTCGGCTTGCACGTTGACCTTATGCCGCCCGATTCCTCGCACGTTGACTCAGAACTTGACTCAACTGACTTCCCCGGAGCTCCCTCTCCAGCGATTCAAGAGGAATGGGGCAGTCTCAGATTCGGAGGCCTGAGCGGGAGGCTCGAAAGCGCAAGTATCCCGACTCGACCTTTAGTCGGGGACAAGCCAAGAATCGCGCCTCGCGCCAGAACCTTTCTTCGCCGGCAGCAGCTCGCCTTCCTCGCCGCCTCCCCTCGCCCCCAACCGAGTCCCACTCCAGCATGAGGGCTCGAGCCATGCCACCCCCTTGGCCACCCCGCCCGCCGCCCTCCGTTTTCAGCATAACCTGTCGCCTCTCCAGGCCGGGACCAGAGGGTAGTCATCGGCGCGCCCTGAACGCCGCTTCTTGGCTCCCCGCCCCCCCCCTCCTCCCCTCCCGGGCGGGGGAAACCAACGAGGGGGGGCGGGGGGGCCCCGCTCTACAAGGACGGCCCCCCCGTGGGGGGGGCCCGGGGGGGG